TGCAGTTCACAGACTCTATGAGAATTGTGACACATGCAAGTGCATAGAGGGCTGAGTGAAATTGTATCAATGCACTGGGGAAGTCCATCCCATGGGCATCTTCGATATGTAAGTATAAACTTCTAGATGGATACAGTTATTAGGAGTGGGATAGAAATGATCGACATCAATATAAAAATACAGATTTATTTTTAGTTTTTGACCACAGATAACCTTTAACATAGTGTAACTAAAACCCTCCTATAAATATCCGCTAGTTGTTTACACACAGCAGTGCCCTAGTAGGCATGGTTGTGAAGTCGTTTAGGAATCACCCTAGGACAGGAAATAAAGAATCTGGCAGGATCACCAAATAAAAACCCCCCACAAACTGAACAAAAGAAGGAAATGAAGCTGTCAGTAACTTGTGGAAGATGTACTATTCTTTTGCAAGTTTTTATTTCAGGTGTACAGAGTGAGCAAGAAGCATTTACAGGGTTATTCACTAAGCCCTCATTCACACGAGAAAAGGCCGGCGCGTACAGCTGCGTGCACGGCCGTATCGGGCAGCTCCCGCGAAGGACAGGTGCTGCGTGTGATAAGTACGCAGCCCCTGTCCTTCTCTATGGGAGTACGCCGCCCTACGCTCACCCACCCTGCACGTCCGTGCGGGTGAGCGTACTCGTACACTGACAGGATGGCTTTAGCCAGGAAACACGCACCCGCACTTGAGGTGAGCGTAGGGCGGCGTACGGCCGCTTAGTCTCATAGAGAAGGTCGGGGGGCTGCGTATTAATCGCACGCAGCACCTGTCCTTTCCGGGAGCTGCCCGATACGGCCGTGCACGGAGCTGTACGTGCCGGCCTTTTCTCGTGTGAATGAGGGCTTAAGAGTGTGCGGAAAAATAAAAAAAGTTATACTCACCCGATCCTCGGTCGGCTCTTACACCGGTCCTTCCAGCCTCTCACTCCCTCCTCCAGGTTCTGTGAGTCATCACATCCAATACATGTATAGGACGTGAGGATGCCATGGGACATACCATCACTGCAGCGGAGAAGACAGGCTGAACGGAGCGCCCAACAGCCAGCCACCAGCTCTTAGGATCGGGCGAGTATCATTTTGTTTTGTTTTTTTTACCTAGACCAAAATGAGCACTTAACCCTTGCGGTGTAAGGGTAGCTCAAGGGTTACAGTAGTATTAAACTCTCAAACTTTTTTTTTAATAATGAATCCAGATCAAACACAGATACATTGCCCAGCAAAGTGATTCTTTCCATTACAGTCATCATGTCTCCAAACCGCTCCAACTCTCAGCTCAGCTTCCCTGAACTTCCTGTCCAGTACAAGATCACAAGAGACAGAGCAGTCTCCAGCAGTTGTTTACATCTACTAGCTTAGATAATGGAGGATCAGGGGGCACTGGATTGACTTGTTGTGACGGTGTATTTGTGGAGACACACAAAGCTTTCTAGCACACACAAGGGTGGCTCCATAGGACCCTGCAAGGGGAAGGAGCCACCCATAGGTGTGAATGATGTGTCTCTGACCCCCGACTCCTGGGATATCCCTATCACTTATCAAAGGAATAGGGGTCACAGAGTGAACCTGGCAGTGCGTCATCAACCCCATCTGCATGAACCCAGAACAGACAGCCGGCTCTCAATGATGTCATAGACGATGGAGCCCGCATAGTCTGGATGCTGGATGTTTTCTGAGGATAATCCTGTGAATGGAGTTTAGAAAAAGAAACCAGGGTCAGGGGTAGGGTTGCCACCTGTCCAGGATTCATCCGGACAGTCCAGGTTTTGAATGCTGTGTCCGGGTTTCATGGCATTAGAAACCCGTACACAAGATGTCATGCAGACAGGGCCAACCAAAAATAAGATAGGGGCTACTGCCCCCTCACTGAAAATAGTCTAAACTGTGATATTTACATCTAAATGGGTGGTGCTATTTACATATGAATAAGCCATAATTCATTCTCCCATCAAAATGTCTGCACGTCGCTCCAGTGCTCAGGTTTCGCTTGAAGAAAAGGTGGCAACCCTAGTCAGGGGTGACATTTATGGTGAATGTTTCTATACAGTGAGTGACAGGTCTACTTTAATACCATGGAATGACAGCAGGGCACCTGTCACAGCCTTATATTCAGGAAGAAGAACCGGAATAAATGTAGAATCCCGTTTCCTGGAGCCACATGGGTGAGATCGGAACTGGCGGTTCTCATAGGGTTACTGCACTTTGCACATCGTCACCGCTCTCTGCACTGCGTTATACAGTAACTGGGCGGGCGATGCACAGCAGGTGGCTGGAGAGTCAGGTCACCCGAGCCTTGCGTGCAATCCACCGTGTACACCGAACACTGACATCACTATAAGCGTCCCACAGCAAAGAACAACGAAAGATCGGACAAACGTAACCGGATGACATAAACGTGAAAGCCCCGCCCTCTCTTCAGCTCATTTTCCCCGTAATTTACTAAAAGACCCACCCACCCTATCGGCGTCACACGCCTATTGGCTGGGCTCACTAGTCAGTCATCCCGCACTTTGCCCCTTTCCCGTTCATCTAACAGCACGTGCCGTAGGCCCACGGGGAAGAGTTCATGTACGTCCCGCCTCCTGGTTACGTCACGACCAGCGAAAAGGCGTGTCGTACAGGTCTATTGTCCGCGACTGGTTGTCGTATTGCCTTTGCTCCGCCTCCCTCGTACCTGTCGCTCATCGACTGGCTGAGAGTTTAGGTTCGGTAAGGGAGTGGGCGTGTTTTCGCGGCGAGGCCCCTCCCTCCAGTCAGCGCTGAGTAGGAAATGTCATTTGAGCACAGAAGCGAGGAGCACTAGCCGGCTCCGGTGGTACCGGCCTTCCCTGGACCAACCCTGAGAGTGTGATGTGGACGGCGAGACTGGACGGGCCGCGGGAGTGCACAATTGTAGGAGATCGGGAGAACGCGGGGACTGCTGGTGCGATCTAAGAGACGAGCCGCGTGCCCGCGCATTTTAAACCTCCCTCCTCATCCCCTGCTCCGCCAA